TGTGGGTTCGAGCCCCACGTTGGGTGTAAAGATTACTTAAAATCTTCTTTAAAAAAAAGTCTTCTCTGGAATCCAAATAAAATTTCTAATGATTTCACTTAATACAGGAATCAAAGTATCTCTCTCTGCAACATGGCACAGTGCACGGTGTGGCTCCCTCAAAGTTCATCATGTTTAGGGGCACCTGACTGGCTCAGTCAGTGGAGCATGCAACTCCTGATCTCAGGGTTGTGAGTTAGAGCCCCAAATTGGGAGTAGAGACGACTTTAAAAAATGAAATCTTAAAAAAAAAAAAGTTCATCATGCTTAACATGTTAAATGTTGGGCCTTCCAAATTTCCTTTTTGGACATTACATTGAGAAATGAGTTAAGAGGGGCGCCTGGGTGGCTCAGTTTGTTAAGCAACTGCCGTTGGCTTGGGTCATGATCCTGGAGTACCTAGATGAGTCCCGCATCAGCTCCCTGCTCGGCAGGAAGTCGGCTTCTCCCTCTGACCCTCCCCAATCTCGTGCGTGCTCTCTCTCATTCTCTCTCTTAAATAAAATCTTTAAAAAAAAACGAGTTAAGAAACTATTAATATAGTCAAGCTGAAAGATTTATAGATATGGCTAATTAAATCACATGTCAAAATAATGAGCTAACAACTAAGAACTCAGGAAATATTTGACGTTTGCTATTTAGACAAATCTGCATGGATTTCCAAGATGTAGTTTTCTGATAAATTATCAAAGTTTGAAATCCTGCCAAATATGGGACAGTGGAGCAGTAGGAGAGAACTGGTGTGATCTAATATAGCAAATCCTTGTTCTATTTTGGAGACCTTATTTCTATATTCCTAAGAACATGAAGCCAAGAGCTAGTATCAAAAAGTGTTAAGGGGCACCTGGGTGGCTCAGTCGTTGGGCGTCTGCCTTCAGCTCGGGTCATGATCCCAGGGTCCTGGGATCGAGCCCCACATCGGGCTCCCTGCTCAGCGGGGAGTCCGCTTCTCCCTCTCCCTCTGCCTGCCGCTCTGCCTGCCTGTGCTCTCTCTCTGTCAAATAAATAAATAAAATCTTTAAAAAAAAAAAAAAGTGTTAAAACAAGGGGTGGGGGAGAAAGGGAAAATAAGGAGCTGAATAGAGTAAAATCATTAAGGGGCAGATTTGGAATTTTTTTAAGTTTTTATTTTAATTCCAGTTAGTTAACATACAGTGTTATATTAGTTTCAGGTGTACAAGACAGTGATTCAACAACTGTAGAATTTTTTTATTGGTCACAACTTGGTGATGTACGTAGTAAAAATTATTTGGGCACTTCTTCTCCGAGAGAACACCAAATGGCGGATGACGCCGGTGCTGCGGGAATAAATAAAATCTTAAAAAAAAAAAAAAAAAAAAAATTATTTGGGCATATCGATGTTTACATAAATTTGTTACTTTATCAATTGACAAATTGGTACACATTTTACAAGAATCTAGTAGACTCCTCCAGATACTGCTGGGAGAACCGACTGCCAGATGAAAAGAACAAGGATCAATGAAATTACATTGTGATCTCCATGAAGACAGAATCCCTGTTTTATTCTCCATTATCCCCAGCAGGTAACATAGAACCTCATGTATGACAGACAAATGTTAAGGGTTAGGGGGTTAGGAATCATTTTAAAGCCCTTTGTTGAATTGTAAGGCAGTATCAAAAAACAAACAAACAAACCATAGCTATTTTCAATATTTAATACCAGGCAAATATGTACCCAAAAATCTAAACACAGCTGTCAAAAATTCATAATTTATCAGGATGCCTGGGTGGCTTGGTTGGTGACTCTTGGTTTCCGCTCAGGTCATGATTTCATGGGCCATGGGATAGGGCCCTGAGTTGGGCTCTGTGCTCAGCAGGGAGTCTGCTTGAAGATTCTCTCCTTCTACTCCTCCCCTTTCTCTCTCTCAAGTAAATAAGTCTTTTTAAAAAAAATTCATAATTTATCTTTTCAGTTTCTCATAAAAAACAAACAACCCAAGCCTAATGCTACTTTCCATTGCCATTATACAACTCATCCTTAAATAATTAGCTTTGTTAACAATTAGAGACAAAGGGGAAAAAAAAACCTATAATTTTAGTAAAAGGAGTAAAAAAGATATAAGCAGATGGATTCCGTGCAGACCAGGCTCTAAGGGAGTAAAGCTGGCTAGCTCTGTGGCTTTTGTCCTATAAGCCAATTATGAAAGGAAAAGATCATTGGAAAAGAAAACATTGAAAAAATACCATGGCATGAGTTACCATGAAGCCAGAAAGTCAGTTCTTTCTGCAAACCTATGATGTACACAGATATATATGGCACATGAATCTAAAATACATTATGTACAGGTATTTTGAGGTAGTATATTATTATTTAACAATCCTTAATATGACAAGCAGGAAAATTCCCAAGTAAAGAAAGACAATTTCCTCAACATCTGTACCTAATCTCTCCTATTCAACCTCTTGAAACAACTGCACATGCCAGTACAGTTAACATTAAACATTCGTATCAAAATCTACTTCCAGATTTTAAAATAATATTAGACTGTAATTTCTCAAGGCTCTTTTCCCATATGCTTATGACTTAATCCCACTTGCAGAGAATACTCTTTGTAAACTAACCTGTCATACACTCTCTACACATCCGCATCACTAAAATACACCCCCAGTTGTCAGTAAGAACATAACAAAATTCCTTCCTTTACTTTATGTTTAGTTTTCTCTCACCCTTCACATGTTGTTCCTGGGTACAGAAGATTTTCCTCCACCCTCTTTCACTCAGTTTAGGACTCTATGCCTGCTTCCCAGAGAAAGAGGACAAAAGCTACTTCTCAAACTGTGGAACAACCAGCTCTGTTCTCTCCCCCGCCCCAACCTGTTCCAGTGTTCATGATGTTCTTTCAGCTCATAGGGAAGGGAGAAATTGAGAGATCAGTCTAGTGACTTACCCCAGTAGCAAATCCCAGGTGAATACAAACTCTCCCAAAGCAGAACTGGGAGAGATTTTTTTTTTAAAGCCATGTTTCATCCTGTGCCTCAAAACACTAATGCCTAAAGCTTGGTTGGCATTCATTGGTCTGAGGTTAAAAAAAAAAAAAAAAAAATGTTCTCTTTAGTGTGTTTCTTCATATGATCAAGAAGGGGTAGAGGATTTATAAAACATTGCTAGTAATTTCCCTCTGCAGAGGAAAAGGGGACTGAATGAGAAGGGAAAGAAAAAAAGGGAAATTTGTTGTTGTCACTCTCCCTCCACAGTCAGATGCTAATGTATTCAACAGGGAATCTAAGAATGAAACAAAAATTTTGAAGATATGTACCAGAAACTAAGGTAGAGGAATGTTAGCTGGTAGCCCCAAGTCTAAAGGGTAGATATATACAATTCCTTACCCCCTGCGGGGGGAAAGGCAGGAACCAAAAAAAGGATCTTCACTGAGTGGAGGATTCTATGTGACTGAATTTGCTGTTCCCCTTCTTGACTCTCTGTTCTCAGAATCACAGAGTGCCCCCCTCCCTGACAAGTGGACTGCAGCACCTCGGGGGGGGGGGGGGGGGTAAGAGAAAACAAGAGAGAAAAAAAGAGGAGACAGAGAAAGATAAAAACATCAACAGCCATCTTGCCAAACTAACAACTGAATCTATTACAGGAAAGAAGGAAATTAATTGCACTAACCAAGATAGAAAGTAATATAAACAAAAGTTACCTCTAAACAAAATAGGCCTCCTCCCCCTCTGACACACTAACCAAATATCACACAGTAAACATTAGAGAAGAAATTTAACTATGACTGTTAATTTCTAAAATTAGAGGTTGTCATTCTAAAAGTTAGAAAATAAATAATCTCCGTCACTGGAATTTCAGAGTGTTTTATTCCAAATGAATATCTTAAAAGTATTCTGACAATGAATTTTTTAAGAAAGAGAAAAAAAGACCTTTAAACTGCCCAATGCTGTTAAAGAAATGAGATCTAGATGGCATTTAAATTCTAATGGTTAGTTAATAATTACGAACTTCATTAAATATAATAAACATCAAGCCCACAGAAAAGGAGTACCTTCCGTATTAGGCTGCCCATGTACTTTCCATACAGATTGAGAATTTAATCCAACTCCCTCAAAATGTGAGAACGATTTATGTAATTAATGGGAAAATAACAGCAAGCTGAAAGAATTTACATCGAAGTTACATTCAACACGGTATTACAATTAACGCTCTATCTCTATTCATACCCACAAATGGGATAAGATACTGGGATTACAAATCTGCAATCACAGATAAGGATACATTAGTAAGGCAAATCTGAGGTTACTATCTCCTAACTATTTGGGGGTTTTTAAAGGGAAGGGGTGGGGAGGCAAGATTTGCATCATGGTCAAATGCTGACCAAAAAAAAAATTTAAGCAATTATTTGTCACCCCATTCTTATCCAGAGGGCTGTCAAAAGAGAAAGAGGAATGACTGTCAGACTTTCTAAAATCTTAACGCGTTAGGAGGAAAACAGGGAATTGAAGCCATACTCAAGTACAGGACGAACACATCCTCCTCCCTCGGTCACACCACAGGAATGTCGTCTGATGGAAGCAGGGGCAGGAGAGATTACCACACTCTCGAGGACAGGTTGGCACAACGCGTGTTTTACTCCAACAAGCATTCCCAGGGTTACCACACCCCCTCACAAACAGGGGGAAGCACACTTCACGCCCAAGGTCGCTGCCTCTCCAACAGTTCTCCCGTCGCACGCACGCGGCTTCATCAGCCCCCTCCCAGCACAACGACCGGCCCGGGCTCCCCACCGCCTCTCGCTGAGGAGCGGACCCCCCCACCCCCACCCCGGCCTTCACAATCTCCGGCGCGCCCGGCCCCGCTCCCTGCCCCGGCCGAGCCCCGGCTCGTCGCCGAGTCCCTTCGGCCACAGTCGCCCACTGGGGGCAGCGGCGCGGGGGCGGGCGCGCCTCCGCCTCACGCCACTACACCAGGGGAGAGAAGCGATCGCACAGCTCACCTGGCTCGGGCGGCTCCTCCCTCGCTCTCTGCCAGCGGAACCGGACTGGGGCCTCCGAGGGAACCGCGGGCTGCCGGGCGGGCTGGAAGTCCGAGAAGGAGGGGGGGAGGGGGGAGGGATGCCGGGAGCCGCCTCCTTTCTCCTCCACCGCCGCGGCTCCCGCAGCCAGGCCGGGCGCCCTCGCACACTCGCCCACTTTCTCACAGCCTCGCGGTCTGTCTGGATCTCCCTCACCCCCACTCCCACACACACTCGCCCCCACCCCCACACACACTCACACCCGGCCGCTCCTCGCTCCCTCGCTCCCTCACTCTCCTGTAGTGCGCGCGCGCGCGACCCCGCTCACACACAGCGCGCGCGACGCCGGCGGAGACCGCCCCGAGCTCCCCCAGACCGAGGCGCCGCGCGCCGCCCGCCCGCGTGCAGAGGACCCTCGCGCGCCCCGGCCCCGCCCTCCAGGCGCGGCGACGCGGCGGGCAGGGGGGTTGGCCACCGGGGTGAGGGGACGGGCCAGCCCGCGGAGCCGGGCCTAGCGGATCCAACACCTGCGTCGGGACCCGCCCTCCGGACTCCGCGTCCCCACTCGCAGCCATCGCCGGCCTCTCGGGTGGTGAAGGGGCGATGGAGAGCGCGCGCTAGGGGGGAAATGGGAGCGCGAGAGCGCTTCGAGGACGCGCTTTCCCCACCCGCCCCCAAATCATCCTCACTAAGGAAGGGAAACGGGTGGGGGGGGGGCGAGGTTTGTTCCCAACTCGAAACCGCGAGATTGATTCCTTCCGTTGTACACCCTCCCCGCCCTCACATTCCCTCATCGGGCCCCATTCATACACAATGTGAACCCTGACGCCAGCCCACCAGGCCTCTTGGGGACAGTGTGCTGTCTGCGTGTCCACGCCTCTCTGTCTCCTGCCCAGCCCAGCCCACCTCCCGCGCAGCCTTTCCGGCGACCTCGCCTACAGTCCCCTCAAGCCGTGGTCCCCGCCCCCCCCAGAGGCAAAGATTGGGAACAAAGATCAATACCTATAAGGTCCTTATCCGTGTACGGAATAAAGACATTGCCTCTGTACATTGTGAGGCAAATTTTAAACTACGGTACATCATATATTCTCAGGGCTTTAAGCAGGTTTTTAAAGATTAAGACAGGGTAGTGTGGTGCAGCCAGCTTTGCTGCTTGGAAACCAGTATAAACCTCCGGCAAATCAGTTCCTTAACTTCCTCCGAGCCTTTGTTATGAAAAGCTAAGAGTATATTCCAAGGTTGCTGTGGGGGAATGAAATATATTTAGGAGCATTTTGAAAATCCTCAAGCTGTCTATAAAAATAAAATTATAGTCCAAAGAAAGCTAAGAATATGAGTATGTTCAGCTACGGTACTGTTAATTTTTCTAGATCATGAAGAATGAAAACAAAGGCAACAGACGACCGTGCCACCTACATGACAAATTCATTTCTAAATAACCTTGGTCATTTATTACCACCAGAGATCCCAGATATGAGCTACCATAATGTCCTAACCAGTTTGCCTTCTTGCAAGTCACATTCCATTCTGAATGGCCTCAGCCAACAAATTCTTTTCAACACTCAGTTCCCAATCTTTTTGGTCTGGTGTTTTTTTTTTTTTTTTGGCTGATTTCACTCAGTACTTAGTCCTTTAAGAGATATAGCATAACCCAGGGTGGTAACTTCTGGACTGGATCAGACTTACTTATGTGATCTTCTAAAGTACCCTGACTTCTCTGTATCTTAATCTACTTGATTACACAAGCTGTCTATAAAAATATTTTATAGAAACTATAAAAGTTACTTCATTGAATTGGTATAAAGAGTAAATGAGCTAATAAGTGTGTAAGACTTAAGGCCTGGCGCAAACTGAGTGCTATTGTGTTTACTGCTGTTATGTTTGCCCACTTAAAGTAACCTACGATAGTGAACAGTTTTCACAAAGAACACATTTAGAGGAACAAATGTGCTATATGACACACTACCTTCAGAAGAAAGGGGGGAAAGTTTACAGAGCTAAAATGTTGCAATTTCTTTCCACCCTGATATTCAGTCTCCTGAAACAAAGTATATTCAACCTAAAGACAAAAGAGAAGCATTTGATCACAGAGATATTAACACAATGAGAATCTGGCAAAAGATAAAGGGAGAAATTGACACAGGGAAAAGGTTGCATGACTGCGCAAGCAGATTATCGATTATACCTATCCTTCAGTCCTACTGTTAAGAAATCCAATTCAGGGTAACGATGCATCACCCAGAAAAAAAAGGGTGAAACTGTGGGTAGGGAGTATTAGACTATTAATTCACTGGCCACCTGCCTTTAAAAAAAATGCTATCTATTCACGTACTGTCATTATGTGCCAGACACATCCAAAGAAATTCATAATGTATACAACATTGCTTTCCACTTAAAGTAGTCAGAAAGAAACAAAACACAGAACTATGTTGCTGTGTTTTTTTTGATGTTATCTATTTTAGAGAGTGTATGTACTGGCATGCGGGTGGGGGGAGGGGCAGAGGGAACAGGAGAGAGAGACTCCTCAAGCTGACTCCTGGCTGAGCACCGAGAGCAATGTAGGCTCAATTTCACGACCCTGAGATCATGACCCCAGCCAAAATTAAGAGTCTGACACCTAATCTACAGAGCCACCCAGGTGCCCCTTAAAGAACTGTGTTCTTAAAAAAAAAAACCAAGTAGGAGCGCCTGGGTGGCTCAGTCAGTTGAGCATCTGACTTCATTTTGGCTCAGGTCATGATCTTGAGGTCAAGGATCTGACTTCATCAGGTTCCTGCTCACCATGGAGTCGGCTTGAGATTCTCTCTCCCCCTCTCCCTCTGCCCCTCCCCCACTTGTGGGTATATGCTCTCTCTTTCTAAAATAACATCTTTAAAAAAAAACAACAAAGCCAAGGATATGGCTCATTTTAAACCAACTATTATATAATATTTACATCAATGATGATCAAATTCCTACCTTATATTTTTGTATGAAGTAATGAGGGAGAAGCAATTATTTTTGGCATTTCCATAATGGAAAGCAAGGTCCAGAAGGCTTGGTTTCCTAGACTCAGTCATAACCTTTGTACTTTCATGGCTGATATGTTTAGACAGGTATGGACTCACATCTCCTGTGGGTAGCAGTGTATGCTCCAAAGTATTTTGGGGCACCTGGCTAGCTCAGTGGGTAGAGCATGAAACTCTTGATCTTGGGGTTCTGAGTTCGAGCCCCATGTTGGGGGTAGAGTTTCCTTTTAAAACAAAAGAAGTATTTTAAATAGCTTGTCTTGGTTTAATTGTGCACCACTCATTTTTAACCACTAAGTTAATATTCTTCAGCCAGTTGAATCCCTCGAGAAGACATAAATAGCCTAGCACCTTTGGAGTCAGATAAATTTGACTTGAAATCCCAGGTTTATTAGTGGCATGTGATTGTTGCTTAAGTTCTATAAGCCTCAGTTATCAACAAAATAAAGATGAGGTAACTCAAACATAATGTACTACATAGTAAGTGCCCCAAAAATATTAGCTATTGGAGCAGCTCGCTGGCTCAGTAGGTACAACGTATGACTCAACTTGGGGTTGTGAGTTTGAGCCCCACATTGGGTGTAGAGATTTAAAAATAAAATCTTAGGGGCACCTGGGTGGCTCAGTTGGTTAAGCCTTCTGCTCAGGTCATGATCTCAAGGTCCTGGGATCAAGCCCCACGTCGTCCAGCCCCACGTCGTCCAGCCCCACGTCAGGCTCCTTACTCAGCTGGGAGGCTGCTTCTTCCTCTCCCTCTGCCCCTCCCCCCATTGGTGCTCTCTCTCAAATAGATAAAATCTTTTTTTTTTTTTTTTAAGATTTTATTTATTTGAAAGACAGAGAGATACTGAGCGAGCAGGCATGGGGAGGAGAGGGAGAAACAGGCCATATATATATATATATTGCGGGCACCTGCATGAGCAGTCGGTTGAGTTCTGAGTTCAAGCCCTGTGTTGGGCTCCATGCTGGGCCTGGAGCCTACTTTAAAAAAACTGATTAGGGGCACCTAGGCGGCTCAGTCGGTTAAACGTCTACCTTCGGCTCATGTCCTGATCCCAGGGTCTTCATGCTATTTCTTGCTCTCTCTCTCTCGAATAAATGAAATCTTTTAAAAAAATGAATATAGGGTGTTATATGAAAACAATGGATCGTGCATCACCACATCAAAAACTAATGATGTATTCTATGGTGACTAACATAATAAAATTTTTTAAAAAATGAATATATATCTAGATAGATATGTAAATATATAGATACAAATATAGGCTATTATACAAGACCAATAACAAAAGTCAAATATCAAAGAGAAGTTATACAATGTTTAAATATGTGTAATAGTACAAATAGTTACATATTTACTGCACGCCCGATGCATAAGTAATATAAGACTGAATTGAAAAGCATCTTTTACCTAAGCCAAAACATTTCTATATTTGTGCTCTCCTTCCTAGACACATTAGAATCAATGGAGAGCTTTTGAAACTGATTTAATCAGAATTTCTGGGATTTTGATCCAGGCACCAATATTTTTTAATGTTCTTCAGGGAATTTTAATATGCAGCCAAGCTGAAGCAAGGTTTGGACAACACACGTTAAATTAACTATATATATGACTATATTGAAATGTGCACATTATCTAGATACATTTCATTTAATCAACCAGATTAGCTGATTCAGAATATGATGGCTAGATTTGCAGCAAAAAGCACTTTTATTTATTTATTTTTGAAGATTTTATCAGGGGCACCCGGGTGGCTCAGTCGGTTAAGTGGCTGCCTTCGGCTCAGGTATGATTTCAGGGTCCTAGGATCAAGTCCCGCATCAGGCTCCCTGCTCATCAGGGGGTCTGGTTCTCCCTCTCCCTCTGCCCCTCATGCCCCTCTCCCTGACACTCTCTCCCTCTCTCTCCCTCTCTCTCTCTCTCTCTCTCTCTCTCGTGCGTGCATGCACGCTGTCTCAAATAAATAAAATCTTTAAAAATAAACAGATAAAATAAAGACTATTTATTTGAGAGAGAGAGCGTAAGTAGGGGGAGGAGCAGGAGAAGGAGAGGCAGACTCCCCGCTGAGCAAGAAGCCCTCCTCAGGGCTTGATCCCAGGACCCTGAGATCACGATCATGACCTCAACAGTAGGTAGATGCTTAACTGACTAAGCCACCCAGGTGCCCCAAGAAACACTTTTAAAAGTTCTTGGTAGACAGTTCTTGAGATGCTAGGTGGGAGGCACAGAAAATGCAATGAGTTGATGGAAAATAAAATCTCCCCTAACAAAGTTGTCTGGGTCCAACC